CTCGGAGCTAGGGCGCGGGTGTGGCACCAGGAGTGGGTGGCCCATGCCCTCCCAGGCCCAGCTCCCAGCAGTGTTAGGACCAGCAGCTGGACACGCTGCCTCAGGGCTTAGGATCCCAGCTGGGAAGGTGAGTCAGCCAGCGGGCCGGGCTCCTGGAATTGGGACCAGCAGCTCCCGTTGGGGGCGCCCCACCACCCATGTCACCGGCAGAAAAACTGGACCCGCTTCCTGACACCTTCATCCTGCAGCCGCCCGTCTTCCACCCGGTGAGCAGCCGCCTCCCATCCGGCTGGGCCGGCCTCCAGGTGGTGGGAGGGAGGGACGCAGCCCTGGCCGGCGGCTTCCCCGGCACCTGCCCTCCAGCTCCGGAAGGTCCTCCTGAGCTGAGCACAGTGCCGGCCAGCTGTTCCCACTTGGGTGTGAGTGACTGTTGAGCTTGCATTTAAAAAGCAGTAGAGCTGTGAGTAGGAGCATCTGGGGGAGTGGGTGACCAGGAGGGCCTGGGGGAGCGGGTAGTATCATTGGGGGGACGTTGGGGGGACCCTGAGCACCTGGCAGGGGGCTTCCTGGCTGCCTCCTCCCGCTGTGTCCCTGAGGATTTGCAGGAGCCTGGCCGTGCTGCGGAAGGCTGAGCCCGCAGGCGATGGCACCCTCCACTGAGGGGCAGCACTGAGCCCTTTCTCTTCACGTGGCCTCTTCTCTCACAAGAGCCGCAGCAGCTGTTACTCACAGGCCAAGCCTGGAGCCTGGGGAGTGGAGGGACGTGGAGCTCAGCCCAGCCGAACTGTGGGTGCTCTGGCCTCCGGACCCCCCGCATCTCTCCAGGCCCTAGTAGCAGGGGGAAGCCGCTGCCCCCGCTACAGCCCCTCCTTGCTTTCCAGCTGCAGCTCCCACCGGCGGGCAGAGCCGTGGGGTCTGGGCTCCGTCTGGGTCAGCGGCCGCCAACCGGTGGTCCGTGAGGTCCGGAAGGCTGGCGACCGCTGGTCCAGGGGGTTGGGGCTCCTGGAGGCTGCTGGGGGAGGGGAAACGGCGCGAAGGCTGGTCCTGTGACCCCGCCCGCTGTGTGCCTGCCGCAGACACCTGTTCAGAGCCCACGCTGTGCCAGGCGGGGCACTGCGCCTACAGAAGGGAGAGGCGGGGCTGCGGCTCTGAGGGCCTTGTGCCTCCCATGGCCAGCGAGGCACACGTCGCCGTGAGCCAGCCAGCAAGGGCCACGCTCGCCAAACCAGCCTAGTGTTCTGGAGCACGGGGAGGGGAGAAACAATCCAGACACTAAAGGGTTGGTGCTGGAGAAGGAGCCAGAGAAGCTGTCAGAGAAGATGTCAGGAGCCCTGAAGGTCAAGGTCCCGGGGCGCAGGGAGAGGGAGGAGACAGCCCGGAGAAGGCAGGAGCTGTGAAGAGTGCGTTGTGTTTTATGGCTGCCAGGCAGCTTCAGGCCATTGTCAGGCACCTGTCCAGGCGTCCAGATCAGGGGCTACACTCAGGTCCCCACCTGTCCATCCTCCTGCCTCCCAGGTCCCAGGCTCTGGCCAGGGAACAGCCCTCAGGGAGCCTCACTGCCGACTCCTGGAGGCCAGGGTGCAAGCAGTGGGCAGCGGGCCTCCCTGGGGCACTGCTGCGTCCTAGGCGCTGGGGGAGGGGCTGGGCCTACGCTGGGGGCGTGGATGGGGGCAGAGGAGCTGAATTTGGCTTCCCCAGGGCAGTGTGGCTTCCACAGGTGGAGGTCCGGGAAAGGGGAGTGGGTAGAAGACCACATTCCAGAGAAAACGAATTCCCCCAGCTGCTTGGGGCAGGAGAACCGAATTTTCTCGTTCTTCTCCCTTCCCCACCTGTGGGGTATGGGGTCCCTCGGCCTCTTCTCCAACCACGTCAGGGCGGGTTTCTCCCCTCGTCCAGGTGGTTCCTTATGTCACAACCATTTTTGGCGGCTTACGCGCCGGCAAGATGGTCATGCTGCAGGGCGTGGTCCCGCTAGATGCACGCAGGTAGGGGGTGCTCCCCGGGGTGCGGGCTCAGCCCCGGAGGATGGAGGGGGGGCGGGGGGGGGGTCTTCTCTGCCTTCGGGGCCTCCGGGGCCTCCGGGGCCGCTGAGCGGAGTGCCCTTCAGAGCCTCGCCGCCCACAGGTTCCAAGTGGACTTCCAGTGCGGCTGCAGCCTGCACCCCCCGCCCGACATCGCCATCCACTTCAACCCTCGCTTCCACACCACCCAGCCGCACGCCATCTGCAACACCCTGCAGGCCGGGCGCTGGCAGGCCGAGGCCCGGTGGCCCCGCCTGGCCCTGCGCAGGGGAGCCAGCTTCCGCATCCTCTTCCTCTTTGGACACGAGGACATGAAGGTGAGTGCGTGGGCACTGGGCCCGAGAGCGGGCGTCCTTCCGCCCGTCCTTCCTCTGCGGAGTCCCCCACGGCACTGTGTACAAGGGGATGGGGGAGGGGAGGTACCCAGAGGACCAAGGAGCTGCCAAGCCCGGCTCCAAGCTGCCCGGGCCCGGGGCCTGATGCGAGCTGCGCTGAGGCGGCCCCGCGCCTGCAGGTGAGCGTGAATGGCAGGCACTTCCTCCACTACCGCTACCGGCTCCCGCTGTCCCGCGTGGACACCCTGGGCATATTCGGGGACATCCTGGTGAAGGCTGTTGGATTCCTGAACATCAACGTAAGTTCCCGTGGGGCCAGGGCGGGCGTGGCAGTGGCCTCTGACCTCCTCTGACACGTGGGCAGGCCCGGGACCCCCGCCCGCCCCAGACAGCCCTGTCGCAGCAGCTGTGACCGAGGTGGAGGGGTTCGTGGAGGTGCCGGGCATGAGTGGGGTGAGGGCAGGAGAAGGTGACGACAGGAGGGGCCCGGGAGCCAGGGACGGAAGTCTGCACTGGGCGTGGGGTCTGGTCAACTCGGGGAGTGGTGGCCAGGAGGCGACTCACTTGGAGACGTGGTGCCGAGGGGCCCAGACCTAGCGGCTGGCGGTCCCCCCCCCCCCCCCGCCAGGGGCGGATTAAAAGGCAGGTTTCTGGGGGCCGAGGCCAGAGATTCTGATTCCGAGTCTGAGATGGAGCCCGGGAAGCCGCGAGGCCAGCTCCGAGCACCACTGCCCAGGCCTGTGGGTAGCGCTCAAGGCCCCATCCGGGCCCGGCATCCGCCCAGGCAGGCAGGGCAGCCAGGTGGCCCGGGGTGGGCAGCAGCCCTGAATCCCGGGGTTGCCTTTTCTCTTTCCCAACAGCCGTTCCCAGAGGGCGGCAGCGAGTATCCAGTTGGACACGTGAGTCTCTTGGGAGCAAGGTGGGCCCTTGTCCCAGACACAGGAGCCGAGCCCCGTTCTCCCTCCCCCGGCGTGACCCGCCCCTCGCCTGCTGGGCTGTGGTCCCCTGGCACAGGCCCAGCGGCCCCTCCCTCGCTGCATGGTTGCCATGGATATGACTAGCCCTGCCTTGGTCCCTGGAGAGCCTGGCCTGGCCTGGCCCAGCGCCCAGCTCCTCTCCTGGGCCACCTTGGGAGGAGGAATTGGGGAGGAGTGCCCCGCATTCATAGCAGAAGGTCCCTGTAGATGGGAGCTTCCGATTCCCACAGCCCACGGGGGAGGCGGCAGGGCTGGGCTGGCCTGCAGGGCGGGCGGGGAGGAGGCGCAGGTATTGCCAAGGCCGCCCGGTGAGTGAGGGACAGACCCTCTGCCCCGTTTCCAGAGCTGGTGTCCATCTGAATTCACGAGGGTCCCACCGGGGCCCCACTCACTCACCTGTACTGTCTCTGAGACAAACCCCACTGACCCCCCGTTTTTCACGATAATGTCCAGAGCCTCCCTTTCACTGAGCGAACCCCGCCTGACCTCCGCGTCCCTCTTCTTTCCTTGACAGCCCTTCCTGCTGGGGAGCCCCAGGCTGGTGAGTGAGCGCCCCCAACCCTCACCTGCCCTCAGGGGTAGGAGGCCCCCACCTGGCGGGAAATGCCGCCCCCCCCCCCCAGGGTTCTCCCTCCCTCCAGAGAGAAGTGCGGGTGTGGGCAGCGGCAGGCTGCTCCGGCTCCCCTTGACCTTGACTTTATTCTGCTCACGGTTATGGTTACTGGATCCTCTGTGGGCCCGGCTCTAGGACAGAGGGACAAGCCAGTCCCAGGCCCCCAGCTCACAGGCTGGTGGGAGGCTGCCCAAGGAACGGCCGTTCCAGTTCGGGGTGCGGGATGGGGGGCATCGTGGTGCCCGCAGCACAGCGGCAGCGAGCTCAGCCCGGGAAAGGCAGGGAGAGGCCAGGCCTGCAGAGGGTGTCTGATAACGGGCAGAGCCGAGTCCCCCAGTTGCGGGCCTTGAGGCAGAGACTTACCTGCTCCAGGGCCCCCCGCCCCGGAGGGTGCCCCCCAAAGTGCTCCTGGGGGCGGCTGCCCTCCCTGAGCCCCCTGTGAGTCCCCTCAGTCCCCTCCCATGTTCCTCCAGGAGGTGCCCTGCTCACGCCCCCTCCCCCGGGGTCTCTGGCCGGGACAGGTCATCGTGCTGCGGGGGCTGGTCTTGCCGGAGCCCAAGGAGTAAGTACGCAGGCGGAGGAGGAGGGAGGGCCTCCCTGCGCCAGGCCAGGCGCCAGCTTTACCCGCATTTGTCTCTTAGTCTCCAAAGCCGCCATTTAACCCCGTTTCACAGAGGAGCGGACAGAGGGGTCAGCTGGTCAGGGTTGCAGGGCTTGCACAAGGCAGGCTGGGACTGGGGCCGGGACCCAGCTGCCTTCGCCGCCCCAGCAGCCCCAGTTCTGGGAGTATCTTCCAGGCCGCTCATCGCAGGCCCTGCCTGGGGCCTGGGACAGGCCCCGGAGAGGCGCGGGCTGAGGCCCGAGAGGATGCGCCCTCCAGCCGCGACACAGCAGGTGTAGAAACACAGCAGGCGGCCCCAGAGGAGGCCTGGCGCTGGGAGTGGGGACAGGGAGGGACACGATAGCCAAGTAGCCGCTGCCTAACTTCTCCCCCTGGGGGCACTCGTGCTCCATCCCCAATCCCGCCTCCTCTTTCCTGTTCCTGGAATTGCATTGGATTCCCTGGCTTTCGGGCCACGCTGCCTCCTGGGTTTGACTCACAGTTACTACCTCTGCAACTTCAAGGCATTCCTTTTCCCTTCTACGCCTCAGCTTCTTTGCCTATGAAAGGGTAATAACAGGGCTGACTTCAGGGCGGTGTAAAGGCTCCTAATGGTGCCAGGCACAGCTGGTGTTCCACACGTGCGTGCTGCGTACCGGATGGGGGAGTGGGGGGACCGCCTCGGTGCTCCCACTCTTCCGCTGGCTCTGTGACTGTGTTTGAGGTCACTGACCTCACTCAACCCTGCCCTCCTGCTCCAGCCCTGGACAGCACGGACCTCAGAGCCAGGCTCGGCTGGGCTGGGTTCCTGATTTTGCCTCCTACACCGGGTGGCCTTGGGCAGGTCCCCACACCTCTGTGTGTCAGAGGTCCCGAGTTCCCCACCAGGAAAAAAAAAAAGGAGAAATAATTCCAACCATACAGGGAATGGTTCCCAGGGATAAAGAACACCCTCCCTGTCCCCCAAAAACGTGGAGGCCTGAGACCAGGCTCCTCGTCTAGCTCCGAGTCCCGTGGATATGAGTGACAGGCCAAGTGATTTAGCCGCTCTGTCGCCAGGCCATGAATCCGAGGGCCCTCTGAGGCCCGACAGGTGGTAGAAGCAGGCTGGGGAGCTGGGGGTGTGGAGAGCATGTGTCCATAGACTGTCCATGACAGATCGGGTCATTTTGAAGGAGAAGCTGGGAGCCATCTCTTACCCAAACGCTCGCAGCTGCGGAACACGGAATGCCTGGAAAGTGGAAGAGTAGCGCGGACCCGCCAGAGCACTTGTACAGGCCGCCTGGGCCGGGGCCTCCCACATCCAGGCTCAGCACAGCGGCTGCCGCTGGTTTTCGGAAAGCAGCTGTGGCTGGCCTGGGACAAACGGGGCGAGCATGTGAGGGCGCGGGCCTCTTGTGCCCTGGAAGTGTCCTCCTCCTCTGACCCATCCCCAAGCACTGAGGATCTGGGGGTTCGGCGGCAGCCTAGGAGAGCTCCCCCAGAGCTCCCCGGGCCTCCGGAGGAAGTCAGTACGCACCGGCTGTGCTGGGCAGGGCTGAGGGGGGACACCGAGGCCCCCAAGTGTTCTCAGGCCACTGGGAAGACAGGGCCTTTCTGGGGAGGAGTCTGGAGGAGGGGGTGGTGGGGGTGGGGGGTTGGCCAGCTCCCGGCCACTGCGGGCTGGAGGCTCCCTGCAGGCCCCTCTCCGGGGTCCCCGCCTTCAAGCTTCTGCCGGGCGTTGAGTCCTTGCCGTCCTCTTCCCAAAGCTGCACGTGGATGGAGCGCCCGCCAGAACAGGTTCCAGAAGGGATTCCCTGAGAGGCCCCCAGGCAGGCCCTTCCCGGGCTCCGTGCCCTCCGAGCCCGAGGCCCCTCTCCACTCCCAGCCACTTCCTGCCGAGGGCTCGGGCCACAGTGTCGGGGCTGCTGTTTCAAAGAAAGTGACTTTGGGACAGAACCTGGCTGTCCTGACAGAAAGACACCCCCCGCCCCCCGAGTCCTGAATCCTGGTGCACATCCCGTGGGAAGCCTAGTAGCAGGGAAGTCCTCTACCCTCCGTCCGCCTCCGAAAAATGGGCTGACACACCCCAGGTCAGGACCAGAAAAGCCAACGCTGCATCTACAAAGCACCTACTGCGTGCCAGGTACTTTCTACGTGTCACACACACTCCTCCTCTGTTCCTCGCGGTGCCCTGAGAGGTCTGGTGTGGTATTTTAACGTTTATAGTGTTTTTTTAAACGATAGGTGTAATTTGAGTGCTTGTTGTACAGCAGCTGTGGCTCTGAGCACTTTGAGTTAAATGTGTTAACTCATTTAACTCTCAGTACTGTCGTTCCCACATTACAGATGGGGAAACTGAGGCACAGAGACACTGACTGGCCCAGGGCCCCGGGACTGGAGAGAGGCCGAGGCCGAGCTGAACGCAGGCAGCCTCACTCTAACCCCCGCGCCGTTTGTAAAACACGTGAACAGTACCTGGCACACGCCCCCAGGAAGCGCTGGTCCTCGCTAACGTCGCCAATCTCCCCGTTTCGAGGAGGGGAAACTGAGGCTCGGGCGAGGTCCTGGGCTCCCCCGTGGTCCTGCAGCCCGTGAGTGGCCACGAGGGGTCCAGTCTCCGCGTGGGGTTTCCGCAGGCGTTTCACTTGCGCTGTCAGGGGCCCCAGAGCTGCTTTCTGGGGACGGGACCTGCCCAATCTTCCAGCCGCCCCAGCCCCTCAGGGCCCGGCAGCCTGGAGGCGTCGGGGCGCCAGGGCGGGGGGGGGGGGGCTCCGGAGCTGAGCCCCTTCTCCGCTCCTGCCCGCAGCTTCACGCTGAGCCTGGGGGACGAGGCCGCGCGTGTCCCCGTGGCTCTCAGGGCCTCCTTCGCAAACAGGACGCTGGCGTGGGTGTCGCCCTGGGGGCGGAAGCAGCTGATCTTGGCCCCCTTCCTCTTCTACCCCCAGCGGTTCTTCGAGGTGGGTCAGAGCCAAGCACGCCCAGCCGGGACACTGAGCAGGGGGTGCGTCCCGGGGGGATCTCCATGCCAGGGCTCTCCACCCCCGCACTGTGGCCAGGGGCCCCCTGGGCCGGGGCGGGCCTGGCACCAGCATTGAGGGCAGCAGCTCCTGGTACAGCTGCTGGAACTGAGGCCCCGAGCCGAGATCCTGGTGGGAGGACTGGTGACCAGCGGGGCCCTCGTTCTGTCTGGGGGCAGCACTGGGTGCCCCACGGGCCCGCGGAGGGGAGGAGGGCTCGCTGGGGGGGTCCCAGGCAGGCAGCGGAGGGCCCGCCAGGAAGCCCGCGGGCCTCACGCCCTCCTTTGCCAGGTGCTGCTGCTGTGCCAGGAGGGAGGGCTGAAGCTGGCGCTCAACGGGCAGGGCCTGGGCGCCACCAGCCTGGGCCGGCAGGTCCTGGAGCGGCTGCGGGAGCTGCGGGTCAGCGGCACCGTCCAGCTGTACTGTGTGCACCACTGAGGAGAGGCCGGGACGAGGAGGGCCCGCCACACCGGCCCCGCGCTCTGCCCACCCCTCGAAGTGCCCGCCTGTCGCCGCCATGCCAGGCCCAGCTCACTTCCAGGGTCCGCAGGGGCTGGGTCCCCCCGAAGAGGGCAGGCAGGGGGGTGTGAGGGCGCCTCCAGCTCTGGGCCTCCCTTCCCCAGGAGCTGGGGGTTTGCCTCCGTCTTCCTTCAGGGCTTGGAGAGGAGGCAGGTTGTGTAGCCGAACAAAGGCACTCAGAGTCCTGGCTCAGGGACGTGACAGGCTCCCGCCGCCCACCTGACAGCAGAGAGAACGGGCTGTGCCCACGGACCCCCAGGGGAGGAGTCTGGGGGAGGAGTCTGGGGAAGGGGGTGGGGGGGGGTGGCCAGCTCCCCACCGCCCCAGGCCAGCACGTCGGGGTGGCTCTGCTCCCCGGCACTTGCGCAGACGTTTCGTTCTTGTGAGAACACCAGGGACCACGCGGTGGGGATGGAGGACAAGAGCGTGGGCGGGCTTGTCCCGATGTC